TTTCAGCTGCAGAGCTACAAACCCACATTCAGTTCCTTTCATCTGTGAAAGTGGTTTCATAGCAAAACCTGTATATAATAATGGTCCTAAATTCCCCTTCTTCTGACCCAAAATCTCCCTTGATGGTGTGAGAGATGGACCAAGGTACCTGAGAGCTGCTGAGGGACTCACCTGGGTGTCCAACTGCACCTGTGTCCCTTGCCTAGCACAAATCAGTCTAAACCAGGTTTCCTGAGAGCACATTTTAGTGCCAGATGGGTCACAGAGTAGGCTTAGAAACTGAGCCTGATAAAACCAGGCAGCAGAAATGGTGACAGGGTTCAGATTCTCATGACCACGGAGAGGAAAATTCCTTGGGGTTTTGAGCTAAGCCGTGATCTGACTCAATTTCCTGCTTCTATAAATAGGAATGGGCTTGCTTAAAAATCACCCCAGACCACTCTACCCAGCCATAAAAACTGAAAATGCTCATGGTAATCTTGTTACTCGATGATACAACAAACCAGCCCTTCTTTCTTTGTGAAGATTTCCCATTAAAAAGGCACAATATGAACAACTGTGGCAACCTGTACACTTCTTTCTTAGAGCAGTACAGTGGGGTAAAGCTGCCCAGGACAAATATCCTGATTTTTTCCTACAGGTACAGTAACACCAAGCCCTGAAAAGCCACACCAGCTGCTTTAAATGAGCTTCTGCTTTCCTCAGTGGAAAGGAAAGGCTGGTCAGGAATTTTTGTTGAGCTGTTTTGTGGTCATTTTGTTACAGCAGCAAGAGAGGCCCAAGCACACAGTGACACAGAGGGGTGATCCTGGCAGCTACAAAATGCTGCAGACATTCCTAGGGCTGCGCTCAGGTGGCCAAATGAGATGTGTGTGTATATTCCCGCCCCTCCACACCTGCTTATCCCAAACCTGCTCCCCATCATGTCCCTTGTCCCCCCAAGGCCTGAGGAACCCCTCAGGTTTCTCTGCTGCAGCCACTGAGCCCAGCAGCCAATGCCTTCACACCACTTGACCACAAAACTGCTTTGCAGATTCTCTGTCTGCTCCACCAGCCCCTCACATCTCCTCATCCTTAACTCAGCCTAAAGCAGTGGGAAAGCAATTCCAGCTTCTGCAAAATGGGTTTGTTTGGGGTTTTCTAAGCTCAGATCAGGTGGGAAAAGGCTGGGGAATAGGGGAAATTTGCAATAGCAATGTTTCTGCTTCCCTCCAGACTGGCTTATATGCTGAAGGCCCAAGCTAGGGCAAGACTTCCTTGAGCTACAGAATAATTATTTTAGCTACATGGCAGGAACACAAAGATCACAGGGAAGGAGGTGTCGGATGCTCAGCACTGCCACAGCTGCTTGGATTTCCAATTCTCCTTTTTCAGAGAGATTACTGCAGCTTGTGGAAAATGTTGGTTTTTTTCTCCAACTTGCCCACCACATTTTATCTGAGGCTGGGCAGCCCCAGTGCCTGACCACTGCCAAGCCATCCCTGCAAGTGGAAAAATGCCTCCTTGCAAAGGCCAGCGCTCCTTGCTGCCCATGAGGAGGGAGCACTGAACAAGAAGTCTTTGTTCTCCTCCATGGCAGAGGCAGGAACTTGGGAAGAAGTTGGTTTTGGCCCAAGCACAGGAGAGGGAGGCTGTGAAAACAAATGATCAGGCAGATGACCCCAAAGGGAGGTGAAGTACAGATGTTCAGCCCTGCTCAACTCTCCAAGAGTGAGCAGCTTCAGCTCCAGTTCACAGAACAGAAAACACAAGTGTCGACAGGCATGAGAATTTCAGTCAAGATTCGGTCACAGGTGTGTTTGGGTTTTTTGTTAAACCACAAAGAGGCGATGCACGAGTGCCTGGAGAAGGAGAGAAGGGTAAATCTGCTGGAACAAGGACTCCTCCACTTGAAAACCCAGTGCTGGCAATTCCTGGCTTTTCACATCCACATAAACCACAGGAGCAGTCACTGCAAAGCTGATTTAACTCCTGCCTCCTACCCTGGCCATCAGAGCAGCCACTGGTGCTGTCATGTCCTTGAGAAAGTCAATCCCATGTGACAGTTTAGAATGCAGCTTGTGAGGAACACACACTAGCAACCCCCCACAAAAGATCCATTGTCATCAAGGCAGGCATTTTATTGTACTCTTTTAAATTAAGGGGTTTGCTGCTTTGAGCACACAGGTGGAATAAGCTGTGCAGAGAGGAGCAAGGAATACAGGTAGAGCTGGAGCAGAAGGATTCCCTCATGGCAATGTACAGGTCCAACACCAGCACAGAGCTTTGAGCCACTGCAGCTCCTTCCCAGGGAGTGGTGGGGAGGATTACACATCTATAAAATGTAGGAAATTTTGCAGCATGCCCCCATTTTGGCTGGGAACATGCTGAGGTGCAACACTCCATACCCATTTGTAATTCACCTGTGGGCCATGAGTGGGTGCTTCAGCCCCTGCTCACAGGGGTGTTTTAGGAATACAATGGTCAGAGAGGCAGAGAAAGGTTTGTGACAAGAAAAGCACCATTTGAGTAGCTCAAAAGGACAATTAGAGACTTGAGGTATTAAGGGCTTAGGGACTCTAGGGTGGGTTGTTTATCCCCCAGCACCTCAGGAGATGGGGGACAATGCTGATGCCAAATGGCTCAAAACTCTTTTGGCCAGGATGTACAAACATTTCACAGGATCACAGAACAAGCTGAGTTGGGAGGGACCCCCAAGGACATCCAGTGCAGCTCCTGGCCCTGCACAGCCCCATCCCCAGAGTCACCCCCTGTGCCCAGAGCATTGTCCCAACACCCCCTGAGCTCTGCCAGGCTGGTGCTGTGCCCACGGCCCTGGGGAGCCTGGGCAGGGCCCAGCCACCCTCTGGGGCAGAACCTTTTCCTAAGCTGCCAAAATCAAACATTTGTACAAAACCTGCTGCTGGCAGGCCGGAGGAAGGAAGGCACAGCATCAGCATCACATCTGAGCTGTTCTTAACAGAGATGCTCTCCCTCATCCTCCCTTGCTCAGGTAAGAGATCAGACTCACGCTACACAGCTGCCTCCCCCGTGCCCTCCCATTTCCTGCAGGAATTCCAAGTCAGCACAAGAGCTGGAGCTATCCACACACATCCATGCAGGGAGAGGATGAACTCTTCAGCTCCCTATCAGCATCTCAACAGTCCCCCTGAGTTTAGCACCCAGTTTTGATGCCAACCCAGCACAGACTGCAGTCACCCTTTTTGGCACTTCCCCTTTATGTCTCCTTGTGCAACTTCCTGCACAGGAAGCATGAAAACATTCAGCACCAGAACAGATGAGGGATATCCCTGGCTGTGACAGCTCCTACAAAGAGGATTTCAATGCAGAGCACACGGCTTTATCACAGCTCCCAAAATCTTTGTGACTTTTTAACCAAACACTATTAAGGCCTATTTACAAAGGATGCAGATTCTTTGCAAAGCATGAATCTGTGAAGCAGTAACAGAACACACAGAGCTTTGTTCTTATCTCATTCCCAGCAAGGCTGAGGCACAGAGCAGAAGCTGCAGTGTTTACACCATTGTAGGAAACACACCCCTGATTTTAAGGCCCATGCTATAACCCAGTCCAAAATATTCTCATCCACATTAACTTCAAAATCTTGCAAGCCCACAATTTGAGAGGGTTTCTCTTTTCCAAGCACCAGACAGATAATTCCACTGACAGGCATTAAAAAGGCATAAACAAACAGAGAAAAAGTTCCCAGCTACCATCTCCCCTGTTCTGGGGTATGTGGGATTGCATCAAGACTTTCAACTGGATCAGCAAGACATGAAACTTCCTTAAAAGAGGAGGGAGAACAAATGGCAAACACATAAATAGTGACAAATACATAAATAGAAAGTGGTTTCATCAGTTTATTGCTTTTTGCTGCCATTTCATGGAGTGTCAAGTCGGCACAGACCACCATGGAGAACAAGGTTTTATCACAAGCCATAAAACAGGTAGGAAATCTAATCCTACATCCACACAATTTGCAAATTTGACAGTAAATACAGCATCTCCAAAAAGCTATCGGCATTTACATTAATCAACTGATTATTTTTAAGTTGCTGAACAAAATGAAGTGGTGAGGGACCATGTGCTCAGAAATACAGACTTCTGGTGTATTCAAGTCATCTTCCCAATACACACATTCTGAAATTTTCCAAAATTTCATTAATACTAAATGAAATCAATGTATTCTGCTTCCAGTTTAAATACCAGGAGAAAATAGTTACCACATTTTAATATATTAACTAAAGGACTATTTGTATAAAACTCTTCACACATGAAATATTTTTAAATTAAATAATATAATATACTTACAAAAAAGAAAAAACAGATGAGAAATTTATTGCTAATATAAAAATTAACGCTTTTCATGGAAGAGAAGGCTAGGTTAATATTATTGCTATGAACATAGTGCCAGAAACAAGAATTCCTGATTTTCAAATTTGTTCAACCCCCACAATTGACTTTAAAGGACCTGTAGACATGTGGAACTTAGGAAAGATGAGGTCCACAACTTTCCTCAGCTATGGTTCATGATCTGATGTCCTTTTATTGCCTCTCAGTATAACACTGAGCATCAGTCTGCTGCTCCTGCATGCTAACATTATCATTCATTAGATCTGCTCTCCACAGAATAAAAACCCAGAACACAACCACCCTAATCCTGCATTTCCACATGAGTATTTTTAAAATGTGCAACTACAGCTTCATTCATCTCTATGTCCATAGCAAAGAAAAGTGGGAACATTCACCAGGTGAAGAGTCCATGATAAGAACAATGTTTCTAGGCCAACCCTTGATTGAATTGCTGACAAGCTCCCACTGCCAAAGGAAGCTTTTTTCTCATAGTGTAGATTGAGTAACACAACTCCTCAGTGCAAACAGCCACACCTGATACTCTAATAACAAAAATATAAACATAAAAACTGAATTACACATCTGCACAGCCCAGTGCCTTTGCAGTGCACTGATTCCCACCCCCAAGAACATCCATCTATACATACATCTATAGCTTTCCTTTCTCTTTTTGTTTTTTAAATTTGCTGTTTTCAGCAGTTATCTACCTTGTCACTAGATTATGCTACTTTCTTAAAGTGATTTTCTTCTAAACTTATACACTCACCCAATTACTGACTTGGGGAAAACCACCAACTCTACCTCTCCAATTTAATAGACAAAACTGGACTTCAAAAGGGTTATCAGCATTGCAAACTATTAAGGTGACAATAGCTATAATTAATTACTTCAGGATCATAAAATTAACCAGTGGAAATTGTAACCTAGTCACAGATTTTTGCTAAATGATTGATACAAACGAGTGTTTTATAGAACCAGAAATTCTCAATCACTCAAAATATAAATTTTTAAAAAGTGGCAGAGTTTGTATTAGTGCTAGTTCTTTAATTAGGGTAACTGAACTCTGCTGGAAATCATCCAGTTAGAAACATTTAGGCAGGTCTTCAGGAATGGAAATGACCAATGACCTGGTTTGGGTTAAAGCCTCCTCCTGGCTAAATCCTCTTCTAGAGTGCCCTGGGCCTGAATGTGCTTCACACAGCAGGATTCTAACCCAGAACATTCATATAGCAATGGTTTTAATATCAATCATGAACATCAAAGTACTTACTACTCAGTTGTTGCCACAACAATTCCTTTTCCTTCACTCCTACATTTGTCCTTCACCCCCCAAAAAATGTATGAGCAAAAGAATATAAATATTTGAGGAGTAAATGCAATGCTCAAGTTCAGGACATGCAAGACTTGAGAAGCATATGCCTTTCTTTTCATGGCATGCATGAAAAGGAGTCAATATACCAGGAACTGGATCAACAAAGACAGCAGATCAGGAGAAAATAACTCTTGCACGTTCTGTGACACAATTCAGGCCAGCCACGTGTGTTCCATATACATTTGAAAACAAAAACCTGATTTTATTCAGACAACTTAAAATATTAAATGCTATAAATGGATGTCTTTCAACTCCAAGTTGAATTGATGAGATATTTACACAGCTATTCACAGAAATGTGCAAAGTAAAGTCTCACAGGGAAATTAATTTAGAAGCCTGACAGCTTGAACGGGACATTAAAAAAGGCAGCAGGGATCCCATGTCCATTTCATGTACACTTTAAAGAACTAAAGAGAGGGAAAGGTTTGATCCAGCTGAACCTCTGGAAGTGGAACAAATCCTGTCCATGCTGCAAGTTGGTCACTAGCTGTCTTTGCTGCAGAATTCACAGTGTATCCCTCCAGTGAGGTCTTTGACAACTCGTTCTTTGATCAGTTTTTGCAGGAATTTTGTTTCACCTGTCACATTGTGCATGATTTGTTCTTTCATGGCAGCCATGCAGAGGTTGTTGTAATAGTGCAAAGGTGTGCTGGGCTGATCCAGGTCATATCCAAATCCTGCCAGGCTCACTTCATCACACAGATGTGTGGCCAGAACAACTGCTGTGACCCCAATCGTAGGTACATTCTAAAAAGGGAGAAAAGTGAAATTTGCTCAGTTCAAACATATTGTCCTTTACTTTAGGTTTATAAACACTTTACACAACTTAATGACTTTGTCTATTCCCTCTCCTCACTTAAAACTGAAATAAATTATAACTACAACTAAAAATCAATTCAATGATCAAGTAAAACTAAAAACTCCAGGACAAAATACCAATACAATTTAAGGATCTTTCAACATTATTTTTTTTTTGCTGTGAAGGCAAGATGCCCTATCACTGTGTAGTTAAACTGCAAGTGATCCTTCACTTCAAACAGTCAAACAGCCCCTGACACAGAGTTAAACTTGACATTTCTTAATGTAAATTACCTAAGTCTTGAGCAACAACAGGCTCTCTAACAGTATTCTTCACAATATGACTTTTCACTGAACAACCTGTGAAAGAGACAAATATACTACAATACCATTAAGATACTCAGCTTGGTATATGTTATTATGATAAAGAAATGTGAGAAGATCCTTCAAATATTTGTGCAATAATCTTAAGTGCTTTCACATTTTGGTAAAGAGATGGTGGTTAGTGTTTTTGTAGTTCAAGAGAACTAGTGACATTCAATTCCTCAAACGTGCAATTAAAGTACCAAAAATGCAGTGTATAATTAAACCAGGCAATTCATCACTCTGTGCCACTGCTGGAGCCAGGACATGGAGGGGGGAAATGCCCATCAGCTGCTACTGAGCATTCTCTGGCACACACAGCAACCCCAGCAGCTGGAGGCTGCTCCACACTGCCCTGCCTTCCAGGCTCCTCTGCTTTCCCTGCAGCTGGACACATCTGGCTGCAGCTGATGGCTGCTTTAGCTCAACAGGGCTGCTTTTAACAGGCTTAACATCCATCAAATGCATGTTTTTAAACACTGGAATGAGTTCATGTCTCACTGCATCTGAATGCCACTTCATGTCAGTATACAGGCAAAATATCTCATCTAGAAAGGTGAGCTGAAATCTCACCTTGATTTTGCACAAGAAAATACAAGAGTCTTTCGAAAGCACAATAATTTCCTTATTACCTGAAACCAGCTCTGCATAGAAACTGCACAGAGAAAGTAAAAAGCCCAAAACTTTTTTCAGTTTCTTATTTTATTTACTTTGCATTTTACTGCCTCTTTTTGTTCAAAGGAAACTTCTTACCTTATCCCAACCCCAGAACTTTGATCGAGGCTCAGGGAACTGTAAAATGTCCAAAGCTGTCTCTTTGACAATGACTGGATTCAGAATCCTAAACTGCTTTGAGGTGAAAGGAATTTTCTCAGCAACCTCCCTCCAAAAGAAGAGCCGCATCCACAGAGGCTGAGAGAAATAAAAAACCTACTTCAGAGGGAAACTGAGACAAACACAGCATAGAAGTCACAGAATTCACCAGCAACCCTGAAAAATTTAGCAGTTTACAGCTAAGGTGATTTGGAAATATCATTGTACAGACCAAATGAGTGACCCAAAAGAGGAAAAACCTTGAAAGTATCAGGAATTGCAGAGAGGACAGCAGAGGGAATAGTGGTTTATTCTGAATATCTGACTGCACTTTGTGTTTACCAGTCAGCATATTCACCAGCACCCATGGGTTCTTCATTTCTTTAAATACTGCAGCCTGTCCCAGCACAGTTTCCCACAAACATTAACCAGGCATTCTGAAGCAAGCAGATTGAAACCAATTGTGCTCAAGCTCTGAAGTGAAGAGCTGTTGTTTGACAGCATCCACCTAGTGATAATTGCAACCCTTCAGAAGAGGATTTACACAGGACTCAGAAACCCAGACTCTGATCTCAAGCCACTGCAGTCAGTCAGATGCCTGCTAATGGAAGAAGAAATACTCCATCACACTAATTCTGCAAGTCCTTCATGAAATGGGCAACATTAAGCAAATTAATTTAATTAAAATATTAAACTGATCCTGCTCCAACACAGACCTGTATTTTTTTAAAATATGCTTTAAGGAACAACAGCTTGAACTGATCAAACACAGGTTGCAGTGCTCCTGTTCTCCCAACCATGCTCTGGATCAGTTCATTTCAGTGCCAGTGCCTGCACAGAGAGCTGAGCCAACTGACAGCTGAGTATTTGAAGGAAGTGGGGCTGCAGCTCACAGAATCACAGAGCCATGAAGTCAGACAGGGCCTCTGGAGATCACAGGGCCCAACTCCCCTGGCCCAAGCAGACACCTCAAGCCAGATGCTCAAGATCATGTCTAGATGACTTTAAGAAAGATGCCCATGGATATTCAACCTGACAAATTCCCTCTTGTCCTATCACTGGGCACCACCAAAAAGAGCCTGGCTCCATCCCCTCTGCACCCTCCCCTCAGATATTTATTTATGTACATCAATAAGATCCCCTCCAAGCCTTTTCTTCTCCCAGCTCTATCAGTCTTTCCTCATGGCAGAGATGCTCCAGTCCCTTAAGCATCTTCCTTACTCTCCAATGTAGCTGTAGACAGCCATGATCAAGATTAAACACACCTTCTCATATTGTAAAAATCACAGAACTGAGAAAGGAATTTGGAGTACCCAAACCAGCAGAGATCAAACTGTTGAATGACTTGACAGGCTGCCTTCTAAATCTCTCTCAGTAACTTTTACTTGTTGAAATTATCTGCCTGCAGATTAAAAGAGGTGGAAGCCACCAGTTCACAATAATTTGGAAACATCAACCCTTTCCATCAGTTCCTTAAAAATCTCAGCACTTCTATAAATGTTTAGTAAAAAATAAGGAACCTCATAACAAATGTTCAATTACACATTAATTCCTTGTATGCAGTACAGTAGCAGTAGAGACTTTAGCAGCTAAAAAAATGGACTAGCATTCAGAAATCTCATTTCTATTTTGGGCTCTGCAGATTTGGTCAAGTCACTTAAACCAAATGTGAAATGAATTCCACTTCAGCAAATGCTCAGTCTGTCACGTAGCCTCGTGCAAACCACCAATATCTCCACAAAAAAAAAAAAGTGTTACTGTCAGCATGGGGCTTCAACACAAATGCTGGTCCAACTGTAACTAGGAGACAGAGCTAAAAAAACCCACAAGGTTATATAAAAGATCCTCAGCACGATAAGCCAGGAAGTAACAGATCAATCAGCTTCTTTAAGCATTAGAAAACAAAACAAACAGAAATACAGGTACGTGAGACTGTCACATTACATACCAAGGTTTCATTTTTCACCATGGCTTGAAGCCAGCTGAAATCAACTCCTTTGAAGAGGACAGCCACAAACAAGCTTGCAGGAGGATACTCATGCTCAGAAAGGGGGGCTCCTTCGGGGTACGTCATCCGAATTGTTGTTTTGTTACCGACATGATCCGTGTAGCCTTGAACTGGTGCATCATTTAACCTGGGGAAACAAACCCACAATGGAGGGTATTAAATAAACAGCTTACAATCTCATTAGAGTATCAAACACTAAGCAAATATTTGTTATTTGGCCCACAGATTTTTAACAGAATAGACTATGGTGTTTTCTCACAACGCACATGTTCTTGCCTCATGCACTCTTGCAGCCCATTTATCTTTGGGAGGAAGCCAATTCTATTTCTAGATTAAATGGCACAAATGCAGAACTTGGGAAAGAAAAGCTTGAAGAGTAAAGTGACTTAAGGCAGCATTGCAGAACTTCCTATCTCTTGCTTTGTGTCAACTCAAAGAAGCTTAAAAGTGTGTGCCTCAGTGTTTGTCTCAGTTTCCCTCTGAAGTAGGTTTTTTATTTCTCTTAGCCTCTGTGGATGCGGCTCTTCTTTTGGAGGGAGGTTGCTGAGAAAATTCCTTTCACCTCAAAGCAGTTTAGGATTCTGAATCCAGTCATTGTCAAAGAGACAGCTTTGGACATTTTACAGTTCCCTGAGCCTCGATCAAAGTTCTGGGGTTGGGATAAGGTAAGAAGTTTCCTTTGAACAAAAAGAGGCAGTAAAATGCAAAGTAAATAAAATAAGAAACTGAAAAAAGTTTTGGGCTTTTTACTTTCTCTGTGCAGTTTCTATGCAGAGCTGGTTTCAGGTAATAAGGAAATTATTGTGCTTTCGAAAGACTCTTGTATTTTCTTGTGCAAAATCAAGGTGAGATTTCAGCTCACCTTTCTAGATGAGATATTTTGCCTATATGCTGACATATGCTGTATGCTGACATTTCTCACAACGCACATGTTCTTGCCTCATGCACTCTTGCAGCCCATTTATCTTTGGGAGGAAGCCATTTCTATTTCTAGATTAAATGGCACAAATGCAGAACTTGGGAAAGAAAAGCTTGAAGAGTAAAGTGACTTAAGGCAGCATTGCAGAACTTCCTATCTCTTGCTTTGTGTCAACTCAAAGAGGCTTCAAAGTGGAAGAGGAAGAAAGCACACAGACAGCTGCCTGTGTGATAACTTTTCACACATATATATTTATATATACACACACACTCATGAGTATTCCACACAAAAAATCATTCATTCAAATTATCCCTCCAGTGCAATGCATCCTGCGGGCTTATATCATTTCCAGTTCACCAAAAAATTCAAATGCTGGCACACAGCTGACAAAAATGGAATCATCACTCTCCATGAGTTCTGCAGAATAGCTCAAGTCCTGCAAACTTCTCTATATCAACAGAAAAATCACCTTCATCCTGCCATCCCTAATTTCAGAGGGCACCTAATGCAAGTTCTCTGCCCCTCCACGTGCTAACAAGGTTTGTTTACCTTTGAATAAGGGCTATTGATTCAATGAAATATTTCCTTAATAAGATGAGCAAGCCTCAGTTTACAAAACAAGTTGAGAAAATGCTGGTATTAATTTTATTTGTGACTTTACATGATTCCAAACAAGGTGGTTCAAACTGTAATGCTCAGAAGGCACAAATACAGAGCATGTAATTCAGATATCAGAGATTGTGGAAATCAAAGAAAAGAGTCACTGACTTCATAAAGATAAGGGAAGATAAGTGTGCTATAAAGTGGGTAAGCAAACTGTGTACTGAAACACCAATTAATGTTTATAGTGTTTGAAATAGCTGTCATAAAAAAATCTTTCAAATAAGCACCCAAACTAGCCATGGGGAAAAAAGCAGAGGTGAGTCCTTAAGTCCTGAAGTTTAAGATTTGAAAGCTTTGAAATGTGAAGGGATAAACCCAGTACTGTCTACTTGTCACTAGTTTCTGTCTAGTTTCTGCCCATGTGATTTTTGTACCTGAAGTCCACAAATAATTACACTGAATTCCTTTCCTGTAAACATGACATTTTATTTTGCTCCTAAGACTTCAAATTCCACCAAGTGACAAATAAATTTCTCAAAAGCACTTTCAGAAACAGTGTTATAAGTTGCATCAGTGTTGGAGGTATTTTCCCCTTAAAAAACACTGCTGGCTCATAAAATAATGAAGAAGTTGGAGTCCTTAAGTGGAAAGGACATACCTGATAACAATATCAAACTGATTCAATAAGTGACCCAGCTCTGATCCATGGAGAATTCCACCACTGCCAACAACAACACAGCGCTTACAGGGCTTAGACTTCAAATCTTCTGGTAAATCATGCTCAGGTAAGAGCTCAAGGAGATCTTTAAGTTTATCAGAGAACTTGTGAAATCCAAACGGAGGTTCATATTTAAATAAAGCTTCATCTTCATTCATATTTTTCCTTGCAAAGGGAGATATGTCCATGCTGTATTTCTCTGCAAACAACTTCTTCATCTCTTTCCTGGCATAAGAAGGTCGGCACTGCTCCTGCAGCACAGCACTGGCAAACTGCTGTGACCTCTGAAACAAAACACAGGATTCAGCCAGGAAAGCCAGCTGCAGAAAGGCACAAAGTCATCAAACTGTGGGCCACCAGCTAACCACCAACAGTTCAGCAAACCCAGAAAGCTTCAGTGTGGAAGTACAACAAATTTGAAGCATTTACTCAGAGGTAGATATGAGCCAGTGCACGGTGAAAACCTGCAGAGGAATTCCTCTCCACTCCATCACTTAAATCCAGATGTGAGGTTTTCTGAAGAATATATTAGGTAGTAGAAGTGCTAAGTGAGAATGAGCTGTTTGTACCACCATTTGCAACACCAAATAAAAAAACCTAGACATACTTCTAGCTGTCTAACTTAGCAGCAAGTGGAATTCCACTCTGCTCAACTGCATGACCTGAGTTCTGCTCAGAGATTCCACCAGAGACACATCCATTGGGTATAAGTTCTGTGCAACAGCAGCTGGACTTGTTACTCATCAGAATGAAGCAACGCTTCTCCCATAAATATTGCTAAAGTGCTAACAGCTCAAAGGAATGCTAGGTGGGGATGTTATGGGCGTTCTCTCAAAGACTAGTCACCAAAATAAGAGACTACAGTTCTATATTGCAGAAAAAGATTAAAGTGACAGACAGAACTACACATTGATCCATCTCATATTAAAAACAAAACATTATAGTGCACGTTTTTAGGAATCTGTAGTGGCAAGCTGGTGTCTGATGTAAAAAGAGAAATAGCAAAGGTTCCTCCAGTGTAATTTAAAAAAACCCATGAGAAAACACAGGAGTCAGACACAAGATTCAAATCTACTGCTGATTTACTCCTCCTCTACTGTTAAGGAACAACAGTGTGTATCTGAAGGAGCAGGGAGGGAAGTTCTGCTGCTGGTTTTTCTGGTTTTTTTTTCCAACCAAGATTAACCTACAGAACTTCCCCTACCACCATTATGAAGGTTTCTGCATGAACACCACTCTGGGCAAAGCATGACTGAACAACTTCACAATGTACTTTTTGAGATAGCAATAAATACAGTCCATGAAGCCTTCAGGTTGGCTTGGTTTAATGTGCTTGTTCTTCATAATCAGAAATTTTATTGAAAAAATAAATAAGTCAAATGAGAAAAAAGGGAAGGCAAAGAGGTTCAGAAGGGGAAAGATAAGCACTGGGGATAATGGCAAGTGGAGGAGGATGCACATGCAGAAATGCTAAGATTAGGCTGTCTTAACCCAGGGTTTCTGCTAGGAGTTGCCTGTTATCATTGAGACATTCAAAGACAGAAATGTAACAGCCCTAGGGCAGGTGAGTTCTGTTATAAAGTGCAAATAGGATAAGTAGCAAAGGCTTCAATGGTGTCTGTTACACCTCTTTAAAAGCTAAAGAAAGTAGCTGCTACCTTGAATGAATAAGTGAAATAATAGCTGTACCTTCTTGGACATTTGCCCTGTGATGCCAAAAACATCTGAGCAACTACAAGGCAAAGCAGACTGGGAAACTGGCTTAGGTAAAATAATAAAAAGCCCTTTGGTTTAATATATTACTTTTGGGTGTTTTTAATATGTGACTTTTCATTTGCATCAATCTTCTGATCACCAGTGTCATCTAAGAAAATGGGATGATGACATGCCCATTTCAAATTTTTAAAGCCACAGTTACCTAATTTTACCCCCAAAAACTCAGTTTCTCTCCATGCTTCTGCTGTCATTTTACAAGAACAAAAATCAATGTTTACAGCATGAGATGAAGCAAAATACACTTCTGCTCAACAGATAATTCCAGCATTTTAATTCTTTGTTGTAGAGCCCTGTAAGTCTTGTATTGTCAATTAATAACATTTTTAAGTGAAATGGAAAAAAAAAAAGCCAAAAAATACCAACCTTTACACGATCAAAGTCCACATATGGCATTTTTGTTCTGTCACATTCCTCAGGGTCAAGATGCAATTTGAGGATATAAAGGAAGCACCCTCCAACCACAAACAGTGCAAGAATTCTAAAAAGCAGGACAGTGGGAGGTAGGAGAGAAAAACAAAAAAAAATTTTTTCTGAAGTTCAATCAACTATTAAATCAATATTTTTAAGCAAATTTAAGACAGTTGAACTTTATGTGAATACTTGCATTGGAATTTTAAAAAAACTCTTTTGCTTTGTTTACTTCAAGTTTTGTGTAACTCTTCAAAGTCAGCTGCACAAAAGTATGAACACATACAGATGCCTAGATAAGGAAAATGCCTGCCTTATATATTTTAAATGCATCTCTGATGAGTCAAACAATTCTCCTCACATAGAGAAACCAACAGTGACCTTTTCTTCTTTAGAGGTCATATCTTAGAAAACATATTTCCATGCAAGCTGAGAAAAAGGCTGGAACTCCAAATTGGATGATTTTGGGCCAATGGCCACCACTGAAACAAAACTTTCAACTCAGTGGCAGGCCAGAATGCAGAACTTAGATGGTCAGGCTGAAAAGCCTTAGTTACTCACACCCCCAAAACATGCAGCAGAAAAAGTCCAACCAACTTTAAAATTGAAGAACATAGACTGTTCATATTTTTAATTTACTAATTTCTCATTCCTAAAGAATGCCACTGCTAATATCCAAAAAGTCACTTAGCTCATTTCATGTTTAAAACCATCTGTAGAATATTTACATCATTATTTGGTTAAAGCTGTGGTTCTTGCTCAAGTGTGTAGTTTGAGCTTTCTTATTGATTTTCATTTCCTATTGTTTCCTAAGGACTGGACATTTGTTTAAATGTCTTTTAAAAATGTACAAGTTATTAATTGCCCAATGCTTCTTGAAACTCTTTCAGATAAAGTTAATACAAATTTCCAATATTTTTTAAAAAGGTTGCACTATATGCACTAACAGATGCAATTCCAGCACTCAGGGTACAGTACAGGCTGCAAACAAGGTGACCACTGGAAAAGCAGGACTGTTCTCATATCTCACTTAACTAAATTACATTTTCCACTGATAGGTGATCTAAGAGCTTCATTAGCATGTTAGGCAGCAGCCCCTGGAGATCAGCCAACAGGCAGAGAGCAGGAGATTCACAGCTGACAAATGAGGCTGGTTTTCCTCCAGAAGTCTATCAAATATCCCCAGATCCAGCTGGGGTTGCACCATTCAGGTTATATTCACCTGTGCATGTAACATTTTTCCTTTGGGTTTTCTAGCTTTAAGACCTAAAAATTCAAATGGCATCACAGTAGTGAACGTTTTAGGTATAATATATGGTCCTGGATCAATGTGTGCACACATCCTTTAATTCTAACTTGATGTCAAACTATAAACAAAGGAGTAAGGTTTTTGATGCAGCATTCCAGAAGCCTTCATAACAAAATAACTACATGAAAACTCCTCCCCAGGATACCCACTCAACATCCTCTGGCCTTCCATTCCCTCAGTTGCCAGACTGTACAGAAGTCTCAGCATTGTTATTTATCTGCATGCACCAAAGATTGGAAATACTCGTGAGTGAAGCACTAGGATCTCACTTTGCCTTGAGAAGACAGGGAGTACAACAAGTTATCCTGGGCTCCACCAAGTGTTTTCAGGAAAGCTGTGTGCTCAACCCTCCATTCACAGCCTGTGGTAATCCCATGCCTTGATTTCTGCATCCATTTTGCAATTGCCCAGGCTGGGGGTAGAACAACTGTCCTCTGTGCAGCTGTGACAATGACACTTACTTGCGAGTACCTTTTAGAAACCAGCTTGGTCTTCTCATCTTCATGTGCAGCCACCTTACACCATTGCACAGGAGGTGAATGATCACTTTTCAGCTTCACAGAGTTATTGTCACTCAGGATTGCTGTAAAAAAGAAAGAAAAAGTCATCATAATTTTTGCTGAATTGAAGAAAAGCTCACAGGACACCCATGGAGTGACAACTTTGTTTCCCAGAGAAGACTGTGATTCTTAGTTATGGTGCCAGGAATACTGAATTGCTTCTGAGCTCCTTGTGATCAAGAACTTGCTCATTTCAGCTGCATCACCAAAACATGATTCTAAAAATGTTGCCAGGTTTTTGCATGCTTCATAAGCCTGAAGTCTAACAATTTGCCCATTAATTACATCAATTACCATCAAACACTCTAAACAATATGCTCAGGGTATTCAGGATCCCTGACCCAAAATCAAATCCCTGTGCTGTGTCCCCCACTAGGCTTCCAGGATGCTCTCAGCATACAAAACCCATACAAGCCATCCTCAAAACAGCAGCTCATGTTTCAAATCATCTCCCCAGTTTCCCCAAAGCCAAGCAAACATATCTCATCATCACTGCTCTGAATCTACCACTGACCTCCTCAGCAGCCCCAACAACATGGCCAGCAACTCCAACAGCAGGCACCAGAGAGGGTGAGGAGGGGATTTCTGCCAGGCACACTGCAGGACCAGGGAAGCACAGCACAGCTCCCTGCACAGAGCATGGATAGCCCAGCAGGACAGCACAGGGCTCCCTCACAGATGGGCAGGCACTGATCCTTAGCTGACAAGAAGCAATCTTGCTGCTCCCACAATTTCTATCGGCACGCTCCAATATTCATTTTGGGAAGAAAAATGCTGGCACATCCTCCTCTCCCAGGCTGCTGCCAGTAACCAAAGATGTGAGGATGGAATGCCCAAGAAGAGCCCACCTGTATGAGCCTGCTGGTTTTCCCAGGGAGAAGGAACACAGGCAAGGGTTTTTCCTGTCCTCCCCACCCAAAGCAGCACTCCCTATGATCAGCCAGCCATGGAAAGGGGCAGCCTGCTCCTCCAGAGGGGAGCATTTCAGCCCTGCTCCTTCCTTTGATCTCAGTACTTGACCTTCTCTGCTCTCCACTGCCAAGGTGCTCACCTGTTCTGTTCTCCTGCCAACAGCTCTGTCACAAGAACTTCTAAAAAAGAGCAGGACTAAGGGAAGGCTTTCCCCTAGGGATGACCTTCCCTTGTTCTCCTTTCCACCTCTTTTCACTGCTTATGGTGATATGACCCATTTGAACCAGCCTGTACAGCCACTTGAAAACTGCTTGACTGGACAAACAACTGATGTTCTTAAACACCAGGATGAAGGAGCTGAGGAGACAGAAGTACCCCCTCCAGATATCAAACCCAGATCACTGAAATTTCAAGGGTGTCTAATTCAGAAGATGATTCAAAGTCAGTCTCTTTGCACAGAGAGAAATTATTACTGATAATCACAGTAGAAGGTCAAATGCCAAAAACCCCTGTGAGAGGGTGGAACACAGACAGATAAAGATCAACAACAGCATCTGAAGCTCTTTGAAGAGCAGGCAACAGTCAAGTCATGCTTTCAGGGTCACATGCAAACTATTACAACCCACAAACACAGCAACACAGGAAAACCCTAATGGTTTTAGCCAGCAGGAAACGTGATCACTTACCTCAAACACAAGTAACTTGGTTATTATGGCATCACTAAGAACGTCAAATTCCCCACCTGACAATTTACTAATTGCATAGACTCTGGGCTGTCACACCTATTTGCTGGCCTTTGTTCCAGCCCCTTTGAGATCTGGAATAAAATCTGAAGTCACTACCATCATGGCTGTCTTGAAAAGGGGTAAACTGAAATTTAAGGGGTAAGTTACATCCCCCAGTCCCTCAGAATTCTAGCAGTTAAGCTGGAAATCAAATCTACCTCTTGTCTACCACACAGCCTGTCAGGACACAGGACCAAAGAGCAGGTCACAGGGAACCTATGAAGCCTTAACAGCTCCTCATTTTCTCAGAGCAACACCTCATCTTTACTGGCTGAATCTATACTGCTGAATTAAACCAGCACTGGGGTGCAAAACTGGGTGTTGACAGCACCACCCCAGTCATCCACATCAGTTTGCTCTGAGATACCAGCAGCAAATCATTCAAGCTCACATGGGCAAAGATGTCAAAAATTGTGTTCCAAGGACCATATCCCAGGGTCAGGTATGGATCACAAACTTGAACTGCTCTACCTTGAGATGTTCAGTGCCAGCCCAGCAGGACTGGGGCTGTCACCTTCACAGCACACATCCTTCCTGCCACTCCGCACAGAGAAGTCAACTCAGCAGCCCTCATGTGTCACAGGCATCTTTTATGAAAAATCCTTTCCTTAGGATTTTTCCTCCTGAGAAGCTGAGGAGCCTCAAGAAGAAAGTGTAAACATTGATTATCTGCTGCTGTGGAATGCAACAACTAGATCTTTGATTAACCCATATTAGATGTTTGTAATTAATGGCCAATCACAGCCCAGCTAGTTCAGACACAGAGCTGAGCCACAAACCTTTGTTATCATTCTTTGCTATTCTATTCTTAGCTAACCTTCTGATAAAATCCTTTCTTCTGTTCTCTTAGTATAGTTTTAATGTAATATATACCATAAAATAATAAATCAAGCCTTCTGAAACATAGAGGCAAATCCTGGTCTCTTCCCTCAACCTGAGACCCCTGTGAACACCTATTACAGCGACCTGAGGTGGTCGCTGGGGTGAGAGAAAAACGAGAATCTTGTTTCTTGATCAGAAGGCTGGATTTATTGATATATGATATATAATACATTATAACTATACTAAATAAAGAGAGAAGTTGCAGATGCTGCTAAGCTAAGAATAGAAAGAAAGAATCTATAACAAAGTTGTGTCCAGGGACTCTGTCCCCAGCCTGCTCCTGTGATTGGCCCTTAATTATAAACATGGGAACATGAACCAATCACAGGTGCATCCTATTGCACTCCACAGCAGCTGATAACAATTGTTTGCATTCTCCTCTGGGGCCTCTGCTTCCCAGAAGATGCAGAATCCCAAAGAAAGGGTTTCTGTGAAAAAATGTCTGCGACAAACACCCTCACACTCCTGCAGCACCTGGACAGCAGCACAGCTCAGAGGTGCCACTGCCAGGATCACAGGGATGGCCCCAGCTCATGGAGCAGATCCTCAGAGGTGACAGCCATCCACAGAGGTGACACTGCCAGGATCGCAGGGACAGCCCCAGCTCATGGAGCAGGATCTCACCAGCACTGCAGGGCCAGAGGGTGCTGTACAGAGTGAACACGGCCTGCAGAGCACGGGGGAGCCCCAGGAGTGCCCCACACAGAGCAGAGAGGACATTCCAAAATCACCCCAGAGGAGGCTTGTTGGGAATGTAGCTGACTAGAGACTGGAAAAGTACAAAGCCGTGGCTAATTCCAAGTCCTGCACCTGTGAGATAGCGTGTCCTTGGGCCTAGCTATAGTAGGATAACAAATAGTGAAAGAGACATGAGAAAAGAGAGATGTAACCCCTAAGGAATGAGGAAGAGTTCATGGTATAGTTTAACCAATAGATTGCTTGGCTTACAGAATATTCATAAGCTTATTATTTGCTGTATAAGTGTTTGATGTTTTCTTTAATAAACTGGGCCTGGGATGAACCAGCTGGTGTCCTGGTCCCCTTCCATCAGAGGCTGCCCCACACCAGCACACACAAGAGGCACTCAGCAGTTTGGGAAAGGGATGGGATCACTCACCCACACCGACGGCTCACAGCAGGGACACAACCACTACAGCACAAAACAAGGCAGCAACTGCATCTGTCAGCCCCACAGCTCTCCACAAACACAGCTGGGGAGAAGCATGAAATGGGACCTTTTTAAAAATGAAAAAACAGGAAACAAGCTTCACCCATTTTCACTAGAGAACAATGCAGGTTTTAATTCTTTCTCAGGTAAACAGAAAGAGGTAACTTGATCACAGTCCATAGGAACCTAGGTCAGAATGGATTGTGCATAAAAGAATCAGTCAAACTTGGTACCAGGCTGCAAGAGGTCTGAAAGACAGAGAAGGAAGCGAAGAGGTGGAGGGTGATGAACACAAAAGGCAGTAAAACAAGAATACAAGGCTGCAGTAAGTGCTATCAGAAAATTATTCCTGTCTCTAAGCAAAACCAATTCCAGTTGTTCCCTGATTCACTCATCCTGGATGTACAAAAAGAAACAATGAAACAGAGAATTTAATTAATCACCTCAACACATCCTCTCCAGGTCCAACTCTTAGTATGCACAATGATTTTTTTTGTTATTTTATATAAGTGACATAATGTCATTTTCATTTCCTTTGCAACAGTTTACTTCAGTTTGACTTCTGTCAGTCATGATCATGACAGATGATTCCCTTCTCAAACAAGTCAATATATATAGACCAACACAAGTCAAAATGCATCTGTCCAGCACAGCTTTTTGTTTTTTAATTACTCAGGGTTGGATCCTGCACCCTTGTTCAAGTCAAAGAGCCCTTTCACTGGCTGGAATGGTGCAAGACTGCCCAAAGGAGCAAGGGGGCAGTAACAAGCACCTCAGAGTGCACCTTTCCCACAGTTCCTGAATTAAAGTCTCCGAGTTTGCAGAGAACCAGAGCAGTCGAGATCCCAGGAGGACCAGAGAGCTGTTGCATACAAACACCATAACACTCTTTCAGAAAGGGCCCTGCTGCAGTTGTTCTGAGAGCCATAAATGCAAATGGCTCAATTTGTGTACAAAACACAGCTCAGCAGTGTTGTGGTGGTATGACCACATTTTGCATTGACACTTTTACAGTTACTCATTGTGGTGCAATTAGTGAGGAATCAAGGGATTTAAATTTGTTTTACCTACTGAACTTAAGTGATCTGTGCAAAGCTGCTACTAAGGCTAAATCGTCCATTAATACAATATACTCCAAAGCTTTTAGTGGCTTATTCTTTTCACCATGATTTACTTTTGTCTCATTGTTATTCTTATGTAGACAACATTTCAGAAGCAACTCATTTAAGCCTTCAGGAAGTCTTTTCATGTGGGAATGCTAAAAGCTAAAAAGCAG